ACTCTGTAATCCTTACTTAAAGACAGTACGGTCCACAAACACTGAGTAATTCGGTAATCCTTACCTAATGACAGTACGGTCCACAGACACTGAGTAATTCAATAATTCTTACCTAATGACAGTACAGTCCACAGACACTGAGTAACTCGGTAATCCTTACCTAATGACAGTACGGTCCACAGATACCGAGTAACTCTGTAATCCTTACTTAAAGACAGTACGGTCCACAAACACTGAGTAATTCGGTAATCCTTACCTAATGACAGTACGGTCCACAGACACTGAGTAATTCAATAATCCTTACCTAATGACAGTACGGTTCACAGGCACTGGTCAAAAGTTATAAGTGTACGAATGAGAGTAAAAATTTACAAAATGTTCTAGTGCCAAAAAAAGATAAAAGTCCAAATTTACAAAACTATGTTCTCCGAATATTTGACGAACAATACGCGTTAAGCCTAATATGCTTAACATAGAAGCTGAATGGTATTAAGTTCAAGTCAACAGTCCAACGCCAGCCTAAAACACCGCGGAATAATCTATAATAATATAAAAGCTTGTCTCTCTCTTTCTGTATGACTGCCATACTCCAAGAGGAGAGAACCTAGAAACCTGAAACTTTGCATGCTTCGTAAGGGGGTTTTGATTGTGTGCGCCTGGATATTATTTTTTAGATTTGACTCACAAGTGGCTATGTGAAAAAGCCATCCTGGCGACAAAGAATGGTACAGTCAATACCACAAACAGAGAGCTCTTCTCTCAGTTGCCTGAGCAAGTGCAAAAGTACCAGTCACTTGACATTGTTCCAGACACCAATGAGGCTGTCAATTACCCAACAGAATTCCTCAGTTATCTGGAACCACCAGGTGTTCCACCACACAACCTGGAGCTCAAGATTGGTGCACTCATCATGCTTCTGAAGTATCTGGACCCACCAACACTCTGCAATGGAACACGTTCGGCTGTCAAGAAGCTGATGCCATATGACATTGAGGCTAAAATCATGCAGCATGGTCATGCTCCAGAACAGGATGTTTTCATTCCAATCATCCCATCTGACTTGATCTTTCAATTCAAGCGGCTCCAGTTCCAAGTTCGATTCAGCTTTGCCGTGAGCATTAATAAGGCATATGCACAATTATTCAAAGTTGTTGGTTTCAGCCTGCAAAGCCAATGCTTTTTTCATGGTTACTCCAAGGTTGATGACGGCAAGAACCTTTCCATCTTAACACCAGATAGGAAAACAACCAACGCTGTCTATCCTGAGGCACTGCAAGATTAAAAAATTTGCAAAACACCATTTATCACCAATTATCAGTGCAATGATAAAGTATCAAGATGTAAATAAATAATTCTTAACTTACAGCAAAGATTTTCATTATATACTAAAATTGATGACTTCTATTAGTTTCTGGGAAAAACATAATCTTTGAAAAGATTTTTGGCTGTATCGTATATCCAAAATAGGTTTAAAATACACACACACACACATACCGTCTACAAGTAAAATATCAATCTAATAATCCGAGCGACGCCGGGTACTCTGGCTAGTTATAAATATAGAACCCGTGTATACCATGTTAATATACTCCTTCCACACATGGGTGAGAAACCAAAGCGTTCTTACAGAACTGTGTTTAACGGAAATGTTTTTAATTATTATAATTTATTTCACATTTTCGCTGGACTTAAGGGAGACTAATGACAGAAAAGCAGAAAATGTTTTGTCCAGAAATAGTTTCCACGCCAGACCACAATCGCTGGTATATGTACAATTGGTTATGATTTTTGTAATGATTAATTTACTTTGAATATCCTAAAATCAAATATATATATATATGTTGTAAGGTTAGAAACGTTTTCTGTATTATCGAACAACGTAGATTTCAACTTTAATGTTCTTTGTGTTTCGTTTATCAGTTCCTTACGTATGAGAAGTCGTGAAACACGCATATTGAAACTTAGTCTATTTCCATTCAACTGTGGCTTTTATTTATTTTAGGTGTAGCTATATCAAAATCCTACGGAATATTTAATGCAACTCTTTTCAATAACATACGTCTTGATCCTTTTTTTTAATAACATATTTGTTAATGGTGTGAAAGAAACGACTTTGAACTGCAAAAAAAGTAACTTCAAAATTGTTTCTTGTAGTAATTCGTTTGTAGAAACCCTCACAAGTAATGAAATTGTTGTAACCCTCACAAGTAAAGCACTTGTAGTAACCCTCACAAGTAAAGCACTTGTAGTAACCCTCACAAGTAAAGCATTTATAGTAACCCTCACAATTAATAAATTTGTCGTAACCCTCACAAGTAATGTACTTGTAGTAACCCCCACAAATAATCCACTTGTAGTAACCCTCACAAGAAATAAATTTGTCGTAACCCTCAAAAGTAATCCACTTGTAGTAAGCCTCACAAGTAAATCATTCGTAGTAACTCTCACAAGTAATGCACTTGTAGTAAGCCTCACAAGTAAAGCACTTGTAGTAGCTCTCACAAGTAAAGCACTTGTAGTAACCCTCACAAGTAAATCATTCGTAGTAGCTCTCACAAGTAATGCACTTGTAGTAAGCCTCACAAGTAAAGCACTTGTAGTAACCCTCACAAGTAAAGCACTTGTAGTAACCCTCACAAGTAAATCATTGTAGTAACCCTCACAAGTAATGCACTTCTAGTAACCCTCAAAAATAATGCATTTAAAGCTTACGCCATATGCTATAATCTGGAAACTATGCGTCTAAAAGTTTGAAAAATTGTCCAAACCCCAAATCACTTCATACTTATTATATACATAGTATAGTCTGAAATGGAATATTCATAATCAGTAGCACGTAACATTTGATTGTACTTAAACTGATGCAGAACGTTAACATCAGTTGAGAATTCCTGTGCGAATTTTCCATTAGTGGAAGATTCTGAATTTTGTTTAACATTAATATTTTTGTTGCAGCATCTTTTCCTGGCTCACCATCTTCAGTTATAAACTTTATGATACTTCTCTCTCTCTTCCCTTGGGAAGATTTATGACAGTACAACGCATTGATTTTTCACGATCCACACCTTGTTATGAAGAGTTGTTCATAGCTTTGTTTCCTACTGGACACAGAAAAAGAAAGTATGGTGAATTCCAGAATGACAAAGTTCCAAGGAAGTTAGCGTCTGAGTAAGCGACAGAAAAATATTTTCTGGCCTTGTTGATTTTCTTTGTTAGGCACAGGTACATGTGTTATTAGTTTAGGATGTACATTTTTCACTTAAAACACTTGCATTTAGTTGACATGAGTACATTAAATGTTCTAATTAAACGTGTACAAACTTTGGTTGTAACCACAGTTCACTCAGCAGCATAAGCTATTAGATGTTTACGTAATTTAATTTCACGTTTTATGGTGTTTTTAAGGTGATCTGGTGTTAATACGGTCTTCTAAAACTGCTATCCTAATCCTTGTATAACGACAATTTTTAAAACCAGTGATATAGGTAAATCAAATCCATTTTTATAGATCAGTAACTGGATTTTGCTATACGGGGAGGGACAAGGTTCTCTAAATTTCAGGTATAACAGTCCCTAATTTTTAAATATCGACCAGAGGGAAGGCGACTAGTCAACAGTATCAACCACCACACCGAATATTGAGACTGATTGTCACTTTTCTAACTACCCACATCTGAAACTGTGGAACGTGTTCAGTGGTATCACGTCTCTGACCTTTGACCCTTGAACCCGTAGCCTGACACGCTAACATCTTGTCCGGCCACGCTTAGCTCTTTTCTTTTAGAAAACCATATACGATTGAACTTTAAGTATCTGATCTTAATTATGCTTTTTTTGTCCAATTCTGAAATGTT